GGCTGGAAGGGGATTAGGGTTGAAACCCTAAATTGATTTAGGGTTTGAAACCCTAAATTGATTTAGGGTTTGAAACCCTAAACTGATTTAGGGTTTGAAACCCTAAACTGATTTAGGGTTTGAAACCCTAAATTGATTTAGGGTTTGAAACCGGGATTGGGCCAATGTAATCTGAATTGGGCTTAGGGTCTCTGGGCCAAATGGGCTTCGGGTTGTTGGGCCTCTGTAATCTGAATTGGGCTTAGGGATTAGGCCTGCAAAAATTGTAATAATAAATAATAATAAAATAATAATATAATGATAATAATAATAATAATAATAATAAAATAACGGAAAAAAAAACCCGGACAAAAACGGGTGTTTACACTAGTAATTAAACTTTCAAAAAGAAAAAGTAGTAAGTCGTCTTTGCATTTTAGCAGTCATGGCATCGTTACTTTGTTTGTAATGCTTGAAATTCAATCTTTAATTTTAGATCATAGAGGCGGCAAGTTGAGGAATCAGAAATATTTAGCATTTATGTGAAGCCAGGGTGGAAGAAAGGAACCAATATAACATTCCCGGATAAAGGAAACGATCGAGCAGCAAAATCAGCTTCCGGCAGACCTTGTATTTGTAATATATCATATGCAAAAACAACCAGGGTACGATGCAGGATTTTAAGTTGCAAGGACGAACTTGAACTTATAAAATTTTTCGGGGCAACTTGATCTTATAAAATTTTAGGGGAGGCGAAAATAGATATTATATAGAAAATATTTAAAAAAAATTTAAAATATATAGTAATTTTTTATTTTTAGGTGGGCAACCGCCCCCACCCACTCCCCCTAAGTCGATCCCTGTGCACCACCCAAGCCATTGTTTAGGCTGAATTGAAACACCAGAGCTGTAACTTTACCCTAATATCGGATTATTTATTTATTTATTTTCTTCCTCTGTTGTATTGTGTAATTCATATATTCTTGAGGGACACGGGTTGAAATTGTATACGCAATGTATAATCGTATTTATATATTTGTAACTGTAAACTCTTAGAGCTGATGATATATGGACTTAGATCACTATGAACTTGAGTTACATAAGCTTTTATGGGAGTTGAACCTCCTCGAATGGCCGATATCAATCACGAGGAATCACATTTTTAAAATTTGCATGAATAGCTGATACCGACTATTTTATTATCATTCTTGTTTAAATAAAGAAACTACGTTATGAAAAAAGAAACTCAGAGAAGATTAGATGAGAGCGAAATGAAGCGGCTACATAAACGATGGATTTACAAGAGGATGGAAACTAAAAGCCTCTACTGTGGGGAGCATCTTTTCGCCAGGCAGGTTGCCTGGTTCCTACGGTTGTTCCGTAAATTTTAGGTCCATTAACAGATGGTTGGCCTGGGGAAGGTGAACCAGGCGGAGGAACCCACCGATTCCCGTGTTGACCTTGAACATGCATGGCTGGTAACGTCTGGTGGGGCAACTGATGAGGTGCCTGCATCGGCTGTTGAAATCTACGAACCTTGCCATGTGGGGGCTGCAGATGATGCTGTTGAGATGTTAGGGGCTGCCATTCAGGTATATCATCGTCATCGTCATCCCACTGTCGCATCGAAACCCCTACAGGTCCATTATTACTATTCGATTGTCCATACTTCTATATCAGCTCCCTCATTTGATCAACAGGGTGAGATGATCGACTATGTAAATGAGAAGAGGCCATCCCAACACGCTGAGATTGGTACCCAGTGGGGTATTTCGGGCCATATGGGTTTGAATCACCCGAGAAATTGAACTCGGGTAGGTCACATTCATAACGGGATGCAGCAGGGCCGAATCCTGGGGGTACGTTATCGTCATCAGGAGGGAGAGGTACGGAATGTAGAGGAGGTCCAACATGGGTAGCACTAACTGAAGTAGGTTTTGGTGGGAAATTAGTATTCATGTTGGTAATAGCATCTTCCTTTTCATGAGGTCTAACAGGAGTAGGAGTAAAGTGTTGCTTTTTGGAGGTGTATTTATGGTGCGACGTTGAGTTGGGTGAAATTAATTGAGCTCTTCTCCATACAACAACACCAATTAGACCATTATCAACAGCTTTAAGAGCCTGAAGTTGGTCCATGGAGAGGATATTAGTCAGCCTTTCAAGAGTTTTAGCGTGTGGAGGACAAAAATATATTTCAACTCCAGGGCTAGCCTCGGCAAAACCCAGTCTCCCGTCCAAAATATATGAATCAGCCGCCTGCACGAGGCCAGCATTTTAAGTTAACCGTACAAATAATAAGATAAAAGACGGAATCCTCATTTCCATGTTTCTTATATTCTTTACCTCAACAAGGCTCCCAGACTCACTCTCGGTTGATCCCTCCTTGCAAACTACATGAACCACCTGCAAAACATCAGAGAGTTGCATCAGTTTAGCGAGTTCACCAATTATAAAAGGCCCGTTTTCAACCCCCCCAAAAAAGCAAATCAAATTTAATTCCTCCTAAATAAAATGGTTTATTATAGTTGCTTCAGGGATCTCAAATATTTACTCTACTATTTTTATGTTTCGAGTTTACCGAACGTTTGACTTGCCAAGGGAAATGAATTTGAACAATATTAGCGACGTTTTGTTCCTTGAATCTATTTCCTGCGGAATTCGTTTGTACAAGGCGACGTTTATTGCTTTCCAGATATTCATCGCTCAACTGTACGCAATGCCAATCAGTTTAATCCCTTCCTTTCAGATGATGCAGTCAATCTTTTCATTAATATACCTTGTTCTCCATGTTTCTTGTTCAAATCAAACGAGGAATATTGTTCAAGTTCCATCTCTTTCGTCTTTTCAATTTTTACGTTAAGGCTTAACAAATTCCCCCAAAGCTTATCAATGTTCCATAAATGAGATTTACCTCTATACTGAACAAAAATAAACAAATGGAAGCCAAAAACTGGGATAAAAAAGTTTTCGGTACCCCAATTTTCTTTTGGGAAACAATATGGCAGTACAGGAAGCTCTTGGAGACTCCGGGACATAGGAAGCTCTTGGAGAAACTTCTCGAACGCATCAGGTCTGACTCGGCCCTTAATATCAAGAAGGCTAGGCCAGTCCTTTGTAGTAGTTTTTTCACCACTGCACCATGAAAAATTAAATAGTTAATATGCGCAGCAACCCCTACCTTAATATAATATTTGTAATCTCCTCCTTATGAGGTTAAAATTCAAGGACAATTACTGAGCAAGTCAAAAAAAGAGACCATAACAAAATATATAATCACGTAAGCCAAAAAAGATATTGGGTGTCTTCCACCAATTTATTTAAAATTTCCACCTAGAAGTGATCATTCCTCTTCAAGCAACACACTATAATCTAATTTCATCTAGATTCATTTGTGATATAGTTAAGCTGTTTTCACAAAAAAAACACATGCCTCTGCACCCATCCGACTACACAGATAAGATGAAATCAGTATTGTGGTATGTAGCATCAAAACAGAAGCATATACGAACAGATACACGAAGGAAAGAATCATAATAAATTATGATCAGGAAAAAAGAAAAGGAGCTACGAACAACCTAGGCTTGCCTAACATGCTGCTTGCACAACTTACCTCTTAAAAATACAAATGACAGAGGTCATGGATGAGATGTTCAGCTGGAGCATCCCTTCCCAGACACGCTCACCCTGCAAAGGGGCCACAGAAACTACAGTTTCCTTTTTTGTAGGATTGTCATTCAGCTTAACATCTGAATCAGATTTAAGATTGCTTGAACCAGTGTTGCCATGTTTATTAGGCATTGTATCCAAAAGATCTTGTGAAGCTAGACCAGAAGACTTTGAGTGAGACCCAACTTCTGAGTCATTCTTATCAGAAGTGGATGTGCATCTCCAGGTAAGTTCTCAAATGGAGGTTCTGAATCAAGAGATTGCATGAACTCGTCAAGGGAAACAATTGGGGGAAGAATATCTGCATCCTTCAATTCATCCTCTCCCATCAACCCTTGAATTGGATCAGGTCCTTCACTTGAAGGAATGGTAATGGTAAGATTTGGGTCTTCTGGATTATTCCTTTTACCTGCAGCATCGGATTCATCTTTATTCCCAACAGTATCATTCTTAGAAGCTTGTTTTGAATCAGTTTTAGGTCGCTGGGTGACTGAAATTCAAGCTGAAACTTCCACCGCAGAACTGTCAATTTGTTCCACCTCTACTTGAACTTCACCCTTATGTGTTTTCCTCACCAAACGTCTAACATCAACTTCTACATCAGGCAAAACTACCATTTGAGCAAGCTCTTCAGCTTTAGCTTGTCGCCACTGAGAAAGCTCTTTAGAAGCCAGCTCCTCAGCACTCATAGAACATAATAGTTCTGGGGGAATTTCATCAGTCATAACTCTTTCTCTGAGTTCAGGGTTATTATGATCCTTTAAGTTAAACAACAGAGATCTGCCATTCTCCTTATACTTTTTATTCACACCACCAAATAATTTAAAGAGCTCTGCTTCAATTTGATATGCCAACTCTTGTGGAGATGGTAATGATTGCTCTAAATCGTCCTTTCCCTTTTTCTCATTATCCGGGATTTGTTTTCCATCAATTTCAAATTCTTTTTCCTTTGCCACATCTATTTCAGGTGCTAATACCCAAGAAAGGCCATTTCCCTGCAAAAGCTCATCTCCAGCAAAAATGTTGTCACTAAATGGAACATCCTCATCAGGTAACCTATCGCTTTTTTGAAGTTGCTGCCCATCATATTGCAAAGTTTGAGAAGCAGCATCATTATTTCCATCAGCAGAACCACCAAGATTGGAGAGCAATGTCCCTTGCAGTTCTGCAGGTATAGCGCAAACAGAATCTGAATTACCAGAACTCAAATTAGCAGTGTGAGAAACATCTTCTCTCTTCCCAGGGGAACCTACAGCTTCACCATTTGATTTCTTCTCCACCATTGCATTTTCACCTTGCTTCTGAGAAACCATGGCTAGTGCACCAGTTAAATTCTCCCGCATCTTGGACCTCACAGATTCAAATGACTCCTTTTGAACCTTTGGTAGTGGGCCCCCTTTGTGCAGGCTGATTTCTTGAAGCTGTTGACCCAGATTTATTTGGAACTGCTTTCTTGTTTGATGCTGAGGAAGACTGTGATCCAGGTGAATTGGAAACTGTCTGCATCTGAACAGGTCTTTTACTAGGAGCAGACATTGGTTGCAACCAAGGCCTGTGTTCCATTTGTACCACTCTTTTGTTTGGAAAAGATAACGTTTGAGGAATAGAATTAGGAGAAATTGGTTCCATTGGTGCTTTGCGCTTTTTCAAAGTTGGTAACTGGTGTTGTCTCGGGCTATCCAACTTGGTGGGAATTATTTCTCCTACAGGCTTATCAGACATTAAGAGATGTTGTGGTCGCTGAGTATATGTTTCGGAACCAATGTTTCCACCTTGTTGCTGTTGTGGTAGTTGAGTAAATGTTTGGGAATCAATGTTTCCACCTTGCTGCTGTTGTGGCAGCTGAGTATATGTTTGGGATCCAATGTTTCCGCCTTGTTGCTGTTGTGTTAGCTGAGTATATGTTTGGGATCCAATGTTTCCGCCTTGTTGCTGTTGTGTTAGCTGAGTATATGTTTGGGATCCAATGTTTCCGCCTTGCTGCTGTTGTGGTAGCTGATTATATGTTTGGGATCTGATGTTTCCAGCTTGCAGTTGTTGTGGTAGCTGATTATATGTTTGGGACTCTGTGTTTCCAACTTGTTGCTGTTGTGGTAGCTGATTATATGTTTGGGACTCGGTCTTTCCACTTTGTAGCTGTTGTGGTAGCTGATTATATGTTTGGCACTCTGTGTTTCCACCTTGCGGAGTTGGTACCGAGGCAAACTGTGACCCGAGATCATTTGACACAAATCCCATTTGCCCAATAGGCGTATTAATAGGTATCTGGTGCTGCAAAGATTCATAGGTTGGATATACATATAATTTTAACTGAGGACATGCTGCAAAGATTATATGCTGCAAAGATAGCTGCATATACATATAATTTTAAAAACAAAATATGGCTGGATATACATATAATTTTAACTGAGGAAACACTCGGATCGATTATTATCCAAATCCAAAAATGAAGGGAAGGTAGAAAAAGAGAATTAGTTGTATATTTTGATTTCACTTGATATTATCCTAAAATATCAGTTTTAATCCCTTTTAGTATCTAAACTTTTAATTTTTTTTAAAATCATATTTAAAATTTATTTTTTATTTTATTTTAGTATGCATGAAAAAAAAATTAACACTGATTTTTTAAATATTTGTTTTGAAAGTTTAGGTACTAAAATTGATACTAAAATAGTAGACATGTTAAGTTTTTAACTATGGGCACTAAAATGAAACAAAAACTAAAAGTTAAGTATGATTTTGAAAAAATTAAAAGTTTAAGTATTAAAACATATCAAAACTGATAGTTTATGTACTACATGCGTAATTTACCCTTTTCTTTAAGATGAAACTGAAGTGCTACAGTTCTACTACATTCTATAGACGGATTAATGGATTGGCGCATGTACCATTTGCCATCTCTTAATTTTGTTGTCACTTTTATGTAATTTAAAATCAAATGATACTTTCATATATAAAAGGACTATTTTTTTTCAATAAATCTTATTAACGCAGAAGCCTTCATCTCTTAATTTGTTTTTTAATTCATTAGTTCAATGAATTGAATCGAATCCCGTGAATAAATATTGAAGTTGAAATAATTACCTAATTGCTTTGAATATCCCATCAAATTTATAAATTTCTCATTGCTTTGAAAGCAAACATACAAAAATATGAAAAAATTCTTGCAAATCCTGCAATATATTATATCTCTCTCCTATCATTTAAGCCACTAATCAAATTTCATTTCGATTCATGCAATCAGCCTCAACAGATGAAAGATATCTTGCACGTCCAAAGGATCAATATATTATACGACTACCCTATCTTCATTACACTATTATTATTGAACTAAATCGCGGAATTGGTAGAACTGTTACAGGTCCATGTCTCACCTCGTCGCTGGTTATTGTTTGCTCCAGAGAGAGAACTCAAGATGGTGGCACTTGTGCACGAGATTGTGTCCCGTAAGTTCTCGCCAACCTCGCTCTTGCAAAGAGGGCAGGAAGCGTTGATCTTAAGCCACTTGTCCACACATTCCTTGTGCATAAAATGAGAACACGGCAACTCCCTCAGCTCATCATTGTTTGCATATTTCGCCAAACAAATGCAGCAGATCTACACATAATCCCAGTGGTGCCATTGTATCAGTATGAATCGGACAACAAAAACACACATAAAAAACAAACCATATAATATTTCATGAACCATTCCCAAGTAAATTTACCAGTGCTGCATATTCATCACAACTTATGGTAATCACAGAAACGGAGTGCATAATCTATTGGTCATCTGGGAGCTCATATAGTTAAGTGATAACGGCAACTTACAAAGCTGAGCAGATTCAGAACCCAAATAATATGATGGCCAGAAAATAGTTGAGCAACGTAAGAAGAAAACATGCTCGATAAAACTTAATATGCTAAAATGTCGTTTATGAGATCTTCAATCATGAATTCCAACTGAAAATATGTAAAGGAGAGATCTGTGAGACATGCAACTGAATTCTGTAAACAATAATAAAAAGAAAGACTCACTGCATCCTCTCCGGAGATGATGCGCTCCTTTTCAGTTCCAGCAGCCACAACTTCACCCTCACCGGCACCCGAATTTACTTCCCTACCATCATTTCTACTTTTCTTCGACTTGAGCTTGTAAGTAGGTAAAGCATTTATGGATTCGGATGTGGCACCTCTGGTCTGCGATAGATCCTCTCTAAATCCAAGGACAGACATTATACAAGGCAGGCAACAGCAGATCGTGGCACATATAATGAAGGGCATTGCGTATCCAATACAGCTAAACGTAAGAAAAACTATACATAACCTGCAAAGTATAAAAAGGCGAACTCTTGGAAAAAGTACAAATTAAAAGATGAATGCAAAAAATGCAACTAGGCCCACTACCTGTACATGTTAGGAGCCTCACTGGCAGATGAATGCCCACCAAAGATCCAGACATTTCCAATCACAAACCAAACAGCAAAGAAGCAATCTAAAGCCATTTTGAAGTAATCCACCAGCGCTTTAACTCTACAGGATAAAGACCAGTAGATTGGCAACTAAATTGTACTTTGAATGTCTCATTTCAAATTATCAATAAGAAAAGTGTACCTTGCACTTGTTACTACTGTATTTTGACCACCTCTAGGAGATGTAGTTGCAGTATGCTGATCACCCACATCAGAAGTCCTACTAACGGAGAGAGAAAAGGGTCCAGCAGGGACATTGATAATTGAAGTGTTGCGATGTTGAGCCGAGTGTTGCTCAGAAACCTAGTTACGGTGCCAGTAACGCCAATACAGAAGAGGGAGGGTTGTTACACATCCAGATGCATAACCCACAATCCACACAAACAACGGTGTACGGGGATGCTCATTCCTTGACAGAGCCAGGACAATTATAGATGCCACAATTTGGCTCACTGTAAGAACCAGTTCAATAGAAATCCACAAACCAGAATTCAATGGACTCCGACGACGACGGGCATCCCCTCTCCTTATGGCAGATGAGGTCCTTGAGTTCATAACATTGGAAGAAGATGTTGGAGGTTGAGAAACTAGCACTCTTGTACTACTAGACGGTCTGTCATCATGCTGCAAGACGTCCAAACCATTCGAAGTTGTTTCATGAGACAAGTTTGATGAGGAAGCATCAGCGCTCCTTGGCATGTCAATAACATGCTCACTTAAGTTGTCTGATCTCTCCATTAACAATTGACAGGTATCAGCTATATTTTCAGAATGCAGTTCCAAAGAGGAAACACCCATCTAAGTTCACCAACACAGCTGGAAATGATGTAAGCATAGAAACCTAAAACAAGGTTACCATCTTTATGTACCACTTCTTAACGGGAATTGAAACAATGGGCACTTTTGTGCCTTGTATTTGTCAAGTTCCGATGATCAACTTAAATTATTTGCCACCATAAGGTGCATAAATTAACAATTCCTGTTCCCTTGAGAATGAAAAAGCAACTAAATCAGAAAATATATCGAGCTCTCTTATCCCTTCTGGACTTGAATATGAATAAAAAGAGAAACATATATAATAAAAGTATAATTCTGAAATACAAAGGGACTATAGCAACCAACATCCACAAAAATTACACACTTCCATTCACACAACAAATTTAAAAGAAAGAAACGAAATCACTTGCACTCTCATATCATAACCCTTAAACTGCACACCAGTGCAACAAGGTTAAATGGGGATTTTTCCTAACTCATTGCATCTATTTTCTTTCCGACTTACTAATGAATTGAACACTCACGCCTCGACCAAACAAAGGCCATGAACACTTTCTTTTGACAAACAAGAAATTAAGAGTAGAATTCAGTTTAAACAATATATAGTCATTGCACATTTGAAATTTCAGCTCAGAAAAAGAGGAGATAGAGAAATCAAAATCAAAATCCCGCAATAAGATTAACTAACACAACATTAGTATCGGCTTCAGTATTGGAAGAAAAGGAAATTAACTTTGTTTCAAGAACTATTTTTTCACCACAGTGAACACCCCACCTCCGCCTACCTCAAAGCCCTCATGCCAGCGGCACCCACCCACCCAACCCTATAAAAAAACGGTGACCATTTCAATGGAAGTTCCCTGTAAAATGAAAGAACGGTGACAAATCCGAGGGTGACCATTACAGTTCTTTAGCTGCACATATTTTTTTCTAAATCGTATTAGTTCTCTTTCTTGATTTCTTCTTCAATGAAATTCGAAGAGGGGAAAAAACCCATTTGTAAAACAAGCTCATATATATATAATCTTTAAAAAAAATCTATCGAAGGTGCCTCACTTGATATCAAATCAGTACCCTACCCCTTATGTAAATACACTCAGTTCCTCGATCAGCACGAAACTCTATACCCCCGAACCGCACAAGTGGAATCGTTGACTAATATTCAAAAATTATCAAAATGAACCAGGGAAACACAAAACCACCCATCCTCAGTCAACGAACACCCCAAAAAAAAATTCAATCTAAAAACAACAGATTAAGAAAAACCCAAAACAACAATTAGGATATACACGAATGAACAAAAATAGGCAAACACACAAGGGGGAGAGGATCGTACCAGAAAGGACTGAACAGGGGAGAACCGAATTGAGATTGATAGAAGCTAAGGAGTGGAACGGAGAAGACCGACCGAAAGGGCGTCGAAATTGAGTTAGTGAATGAACTGTGCTGTTTCTGCTGTCTTTTTCAACTTTGGGAAAAGTGCGTCAAGTGAAAGCGCGTGAGGAGGGTTTCGTTTGTACGGCCGGATAATAATAGTAACAACATTAATAAAGTGGTGGGAGGAGTAAATATGATTATTGAGTGACGCGAGTTAAGTAATATTTAATTTGTATTTGTTACAAAATTTTGTTATTTGAATCGTTGGTTGTTAAGTTCATTAAATTTTTGTTTGACTCCTCTCTTTAAGAAAATTTATTACTCGTTAGGTTTGTTGTTCATTAAGCTCGATGCTCATTGTTCGTCTCTTTGTTCACTAAGCTCAACGAAGTTTTAACGTTATTATTATATTTTTATGACTATCTTTATTTTCTTAACTATAGGTAAAATCTACTTAAATCATATAAAATTTAATATAAACAAAAATTAATAAATTTAATAAAAAATTTATCAAAAGAGTATATTAAGTCATTTTTAAAGTCTAAACTCTAGAGTAACAATTTACAAATACATTAAAATAATAAATAAGGTTTGATTTTTGAATGTATGAAGTAATTTTTTAAGTTAATTACTAAAAAGATTATATCGCGAACTTA